CACAAGTCTCTAGCGATCACACCGAGACCATTACGGCCGTGACCGATGATGAAGACCCCACTCTTGGTGATGAAGACGACATGACGCTAAAGGCTCAAGATGTCAGCGAGCTGCCCGAGAAGGGTCTCCGAGTGTACAACGCCTTATGGGCCAACTACGAACACCGCAATAAGCGCCACAAGGAATTCCAAACCAGAACAAAGAACGTAAGGAACTGGGTCCTTGAGACGCTTGATGAACCCCTCTCTCGGCATCACTGCAAGCCAGAGACCAGTTTGCCTGAGTGGATTCAGTCAATCTATGACGAGTTTGCTCTAGCAACCGAACAGCGGAAGCAGAGGGCTCGCCGAGCATACCGCGAGATCTTGGGAGAACCACTCCAAGGAAAGATCAAGACCAACACTGCTGCAGCCGATTGGCTTAAGCGATGGCGGAATGCTATCAACGAGGCTCAGGATGTTGGCCTCCAAGAGGCAATAGAACCCGATCAGTGGCTTGGAGACCTCACAACAGCTCTTCAGTCAACGCACCTACAGGCTTGGACAGATGCATACAGCGTCATGCAGATAGCTCAAGTCCGAGCAGGTACTTTAACAGTCGGCCCAGTCATGGCAGACATTCGCCGAGAGATCGCTAAACGGCCGGAGACCCCACGGCGAGGAAGAGTGAGTCAGGGAGCCTTCCACGGCGGAGGAGGCACACAAGAAGAGGCCGATAGCTCGACGAATGCTCGACGAACAAACACCAAGAAGAGACGGCGTCAGAGCATTGGATCGGATAAAGAAGCCAAGTGCCCAGCATGCTGTCAACTCCATCCACTATCACGTTGCTTCTACGCCTTTCCAGAGAACAGACCTGACTGGTTCGAACCGCGGTCCCATGTAACCGAAAGGTTCAACAAGCGGCTAGAAGAGAACGAAGACGACCTAGTCGGACGGATCAGAAAGATCAAGCTAGAGAAATCAGCCTGACTACGACCTGTCGGCACCTGTACAGCGAACGCAGCCCTAATCATCAGGGATTGCATGACGAACGCTGAACTAGTAGCCGGCATCTACTACGCATTACAAAACTGTGTTCTCCTAGACTCAGGAGCAACCCTGCATATCTTCCGAGATACAAGCCGAATGAAAAACCTGCGAGCAGCCCAACCAGGAGATTTCTTTTGGTCAGGAACTACCCAAGTGCCAATCGACGGTTACGGTGAAGCGACTATTACCCTAGCAGATGCCGATGGCTCGCCGATAAGGCTCACTCTCTATGACGTTGCCCTGTGTAAATCCCTTACCACGAACCTCGTCTCATTCTCGAAGCTGAGACAGCGAGGCCTTTGGTGGGATACTAGACCAGGTAACAACTGTCTGCGGAGATCAGATGGGTCCTTCTTAGGCACTATCGACGAGAAGCAAGGGCAACAAGTCTTAGAATGGAAAGATGGAGCGTTAGACTCGCCAAACGCTCGGAGAAGGGTCGTGGAGCACACGGCGGCAATGACAGCAGACAAGCCACAGAAGAAGTCTCGCTTTACAACATGGACTCCGAGAAAGCCAATGCTAGGGGACACAATGACTTGGCACCGACGACTCGGCCATCCAGGCCCAGACTCCCTGCGTTGCCTTATAACGGCCTCAAGGGGCGTCAGGCTGAAGATGCACGAGCCTGAAGGCCGTGAACGAATAACGACTGTGGACTGCGATGCATGTGGTGTAGCGAAGGCTTGCCGAGCGATCCGCAGAGCACCCCGAGAAGCAACAGCGCAAGCAAAACCAGGAGAACGAATAGCCCTAGATTTCCATCCGATGACCCCAGGCTATGCAGGCTATACGTCTGTATGGATCTTCACGGACCGAGCAACAGGGTACTCATGGGACTACTATGCCGACAATCGCTCAACGCTCGCTATCCGCACAGCGATCACTCACTTCCTCAAGATGTTGGAGGTGCAATACTCCATTAAGGTCAAAGTGTTTGAGTGCGATAATGAGATAACAGAAATACATCCGCAAGTCGCTGAGCTGCTGACCGCTCGGGGAATACGCGCCGAGCCTTCGGCCCCGAATACTCAAGCACAAAACGGGGGGGCAGAACGCATCGCTGCAGTCATCATACTGAAAAGCCGCGCAATGCGTGCAGGAGCTAAGTTGCCTGAATATCTGTGGCCGGAATCGATCAAAGCTGCTACCTACCTTTATAATCGTACACCCTCAATTCACAGAAACAGAAAGACTCCGTACGAGTTGTTCCATCGCCAATTCCGCGGCGACCACTCAGCGAAGCCCGACCTCTCACACCTTCGAGCATACGGCTGCAAGGTCTTTGCATTGACTGCAGATGCACAATTGCGAAGAAACCGGCTTCAAAGGCAGGCTCCGAGGGCGTGGATCGGCTTCCTAGTGGGCTATACGTCAAGCAACTCATTCAGAGTCTGGAACCCCTTGCATAAGGAAGTCTTTACAACAAGAGACGTCTCATTCAACGAGCAGCAACTGTTCGACGGACGGACAGAGAGTCTTCGAGACGATTTAAGGCAACAGAACCTCGAAGCTATCCGACAACGCATCGAAGAACTTGTAGCGATACAAGCACAAGCTGAGCAGTGGCTATCACAGCCACCTGATGAAGAAGCAGATGAAGTAATAGGGGAAGACAACGATGACCTGTTTGGAGAACACTCGCCGAGTAATTGCGAGGCTGTTGGCAAAGTGCCCGAATCTGAAGGGGCATATGAATACACCACAGCTAAGTTTGAACCTCTCCCAACACCTCCCCTATCACCGCCAGCCGCGTTTTTCCACACCTTGGCCTCTGGTCTAGGTGTGAAGGGGCGTGGGGAAGCGGCCAAGCACGAGTTGGAAGCGGGTACGCAATATGCTCCGAATAAAAACAAGGAGAGCTCCGCATACCAACTCGCAAATCGACAAAGTGAGGCTCGGAAGGTCCAAAGTGATCTCGCCGATCGACCAGCGAAGCAGCGTGAGTCTTTCAAGGCTGCGTTTCTAGCTGGGAGACTCCAGTCGCCCAAGCATCGCACGAGTAACCGCAGAGTGTTCGGCGAAGGCCTGGCCAGCCCTAGGCGAGCACTCGGCGGGGGAAGACAAGTCTGCCCTCAGATCACGAAGGATATAGGTGCGCAAAAACCTCCGAGATTAGAGAGCCCTGCGTCAGCAGTGGCACAAAAACCTCTACAGATGGAGAGCCCTGTATCTGGGGGGGAAAGGCCGCCATGCGTAAATACACCGTGGCGTCTGTTGCAGACCCTTCCCAGCTCGCACGCGACTATAGCAAGCCATCCCTACCGGGAGGCTCTTCTTGAAGCAGAAAGAATACATTTACAAAGTCATGCAGATTCCCAATCGTGGATCGAAGTCGCAAAAGCCTCGGCTAAAGGCCGACGAGTGCTCGGCTGCCACTGGGTCTACGTCTATAAACTTGACAAACACGGCAGATTCGTGAAGATAAAAGCGCGCCTCGTTATACGCGGCGACCAGCAAGCGATCGATGGCCGAGAGACCTACGCAGCAACTTTGGCGGGCATGTCATTCAGAACCCTCATGGCCCTAGCCAACCGATTCGACTACGATATGTTGCAATACGATGCAGTCAATGCATTTGTACATGCAAAGCTGGATGAGGATATTTATATGCAAATGCCTGCGGGATACAGGAAGCCAGGAAGGATTCTGAAGCTACAGAAAGCTCTCTATGGTCTTCGGCGATCACCACTGCTGTGGCAAAAGCACTTCGAAAAGGGCTTGCTGCAAGCAGGCTTTCGCCGAGTGCCTGGCGAGGACTGCTGTTGGCTTCATGGAGATATCATCTTCTTCTTCTACGTGGATGACTGTGTTCTCTGTTTCCCTAAGCGCATCAAGAGCAAGGCAATGTCGCTGATGGCAGAACTACAGACAACGTACAATATTGAAGGAGGCAAGCCACTTCAATGGTTCCTAGGGATCGAGGTCATCCGGGATCGCAGAGCAAGAAAGCTGTGGTTGTCACAGGCTGTTTATATCGATAAAATGCGCCGCCTGCTCCCCGAAGACTCGCCGAACCTGACGACGGTAACCCCCATGATTCGCGAAGAACTTCTGCCACATGACACAATAGCGAGCCCCAGCAGCGTCAACCTATACCTCAGGAAGGTCGGCACGATCATGTACGCGGCAGTGATGACTCGACCAGACATAGCTTTTGCTGCAAGCCGACTAGCTAGGTTCAACCAGAACCCCGGACCGCAGCAACAAAGAGCCGCCGACAGAGCCCTGCAATACCTCATACAAACAAAGGGTCTCTGCCTTGAATACGGAGCTGCGGCCGGCAGTGAAGAAGACGGACTGCAAGTTGCCTCAGATGCTAGCTTCGCCGATAACTCAACGGATCGTCGGAGTTCTCAGGCATTCGTCATGAAGCTCTTCGGCGGGATCACTTCCTGGAGAGCCAACAAACAGGATACAGTTACAACGTCAACAACAGAGGCAGAGCTCCTGGCGCTTTCCCAAGCAGCCAAGGAAGCTCTCTTTGCAAGCCGACTTATCTCTGCATTGAAGGTTGACCTGAACTCTCCGACTGCTCGCCGAGCAGCAGCAACACCAGCAAGGATCACAATCGAATGCGACAATAAGCAGACTATCCGCCTTGTCACTGCAGAACTAGTACAACTACGCACGAAGCTCAAGCATGTTGACATTCACAACCATTGGCTACGCCAAGAAATCATCGAAGAAAGAGTTAATGTCATCTACACGCCTACTACCCGAATGCTCGCCGACGGATTAACGAAGAACCTCTCAGGAGACGGCCACTCGGGCTTCCTCAAGCAACTGAAGCTGATCGACTTGACGGATAAGATTGAACAGAGAAGAACTGAGGAAAGGGCACAGGAGCTATGAAGCAAAGTGCAGCTCCGCGGCAGGACCGCGAAGCTGAAGGGGCGTGTTAGAATAGATCGTGCGCACAGTCATGCACATGATCAGGTGACCTCGGTCACTTGAGTGACCATGCCGAGCACAGCCCGAATAGGAAGGCGGTCAACTGCGCATATAATACCCCTGACTGCTGCGGGGTCAGCCTAGATGACAATATGCACAATACACATACATGTGGGCTCTCAATGACTAAGATGCTATGCATGCTGCCTAAATCCAACAACTAGAAGCTCAACAGTAAAAAAAAAACACCAACAATAGTATCAACAATACAGACCATATACCCAGTCCATTCAAAGGTCAACAGTATACTCAGACAGACTAAGGTTTCTAGTCCAACTGGTTACCTTTCCCAATACCTCAATGAGCTGCAGTAACAGCTGCGTCTTGAAAAAGCTAGATCTGCTGGAAAAGCTAGATCTTGGAAAAGGCAAAATCCTGATGGATATAACAGCTCTGCAGGCCCTCTTGCATTCCAGCCATTCTTGTATCCTTACACACACCTCGACGAACCACTATCCCAACAGAACAAGATGTCTGGTTTCATCTCTCCCTTTCCGTCTCACAGTGCAGACTGATGAGGTCTATCCCAATTATCGCTATATCTATAGCTTTCAATTCAATCTGGAAGAGTTAATAGAGACTAACCCAGCCCTTATTACAAAGCTACAAGTCGCAATTAGAAAATCTGGAATGAAAAATATCACAGAAATCCGAACCAACAGACCCGACAACATGTATCTAGTGCGGTTACTGATCTTTGGCTGCCACACTATCCGAGAGCTAGCTGGCACAGATCTGGCTCTACAACGCTGGGTTGCTAAAGAGCTACGCCATCTTAAGATCCTTCTTGAGAACTGCCGAATGGATAGAATCCCTCTAGTAGGAAGGGAATTCCTCGAGAAATTGCGTGGTGACTACACAGCATGGACCATGCAACTTATGAACGAGGTGGTGTTGGTCAACTCGCAGCTAAAGAATTGACACAAGAACCCAAAGGAACCGATGGATGTTGCGGTGGTTAGAAGAGGCAAAAGACTGCAATTAGGTTCACGATCAATAGACCAAGTCCCTCATCACACTCGTGCAAGCACGTGACTGTACAGAATTTTAAACAGTAGTCAGAACAGTGATTTCAACGATGAAATTAAGTTGTTATTTTTGGCTTTTTTCACAGATTTAGCTGCTTTCCTTTTTACAGCTAGAAATCTATTTTTCTTCTAAAGGTTATAGTATCTATATAATATATTATTAACTGAAATAAAGTTAAGATAGTTAATTAACTGCTAAAAAAAGAATTCGGGATTTTAAAAAATAATAAGATATACTAACAGTTTAAATATAGATTATATAATATTAAGAGAAACTTACTTGATATATTAATAACAGCTATGAATATAATTATTAAAAAAAGACTCTAGCTAATAGTAATTTTATTTTAAAATATAATGTCAAATAGCAAAAGAATATAATAAAAAAAACTAAAATAAAACTTTAATAAAAAGAACTTTATTATATTATTAGTAGCAGCTATTATAAAGTTAGTTACTATATAATAACTATAGATAGTATACAGCTAAAGATTTTATTTTATAAAAAGCAACTTAAAAAGTTTATTAAAAATAAATAAAAATAATAAGCTTTAGAAGAGAACTATTAAAATAGTTATTTTAAAAAATTAAAAAAAGTTAACTTAAAAATTAAAAATTAAAAAGTATTAAACTAACTTAATAACTTAAATAAACTAAACTTAAAGAATATTAATAAAAATAGAATAGTAGTATTTTTTATAATAAAATTATAATATCTTAAAATCTTACTATTATAGCTTATTAAAAGTAAATATATTTAATATACAGCTTATTAAAAAAACTATTACAGTAGTATAAAAATACTATAAGTAGCTTTTTTTACTATTAAAAAAGAAATCGTTTAAATATAAAATACTATTTAAAACTAGCTGGCTAAGATTAAAAATTACAGTTTAAATATTAAGATACTGTTTAAATCTGGCTTAATATACTAAAAACATATAATTTAAGTTTAGAAATACTATAGAAAACAAGCTAGATATATTTAAAAACAGACTGAATATATTTAAAAATAAGCCGGATATATTAAATAAAATCTGGATATACTATTTAAAAAGCCTAAATAAGCTTAAAAGCCAAGTTAGATATACTAAAAACAAACCTAGATACTGCTAGTAATAGTCTAGAATATATTTTAAAAAAAAAAGGCTGGATAAGTATTAAATATCAGCTGGATATATTAAAAAAGAGATATAGAAAGATAAAAACAGTTTGAAATCTAAGGATAAAATAGCTTATTTAAGTAGATGTTGGAAGGAGACCCTGTATTACGAAACCTCCGATAGATTGATATCCGGACCTTAGTCAGAAGGGGGGTCTGATAACCCCTCTTCCGGCCAGTCCGGATGACCGGAAGGATCAAGCATCAAGATCATCATCATCAATTTGAACACTATTCTATTGATCAAATTGACCGTAACGGATCCATCAGTAGATTAAAAAATTACTTTTATAATTCTAAAATTCTAAAATAAATATATATATATATTAATAAAAGTATTAAATTAATTAAAAAATAGAATTTAAAAAGAAATAAATTAAGAGGCTAAAATTAAAATAGCAGCTAATTAAAGAAAAAAAAGCAGACTATTTATAATAAAAAGTTTTTCAGCTTAATACTGTATTTATTAAAAAGGCTGGAATCTGCAATTTTTATTTTACTTAGCTTTTGTATCTATTTTTATATAAAAAGCTTTTAAAGTAATAAATTTATTATTAGTATATTAACAATTACTAACTTATATAAAATTTAAAGATAACTAATTTAATTTATAAATCTAACTATTTAATTACTTTTAAAAAGCTTAGAAAATGTCTAACTATTTAAAAAATAGTCTAAGGGATTTTTATAAGAATTTTTAACTTAATATTTCTTTAGAAAAATCTATTTATAATTAGTATTATTACTTTAGATATAATTAGTATACTAACTAGTTATATAACTATAAATAGAATAGATAAAAATAGTACTTGACATTATTAAAAATACTAAAAATATATAATTTAATATAATAAAAATAGTGTACTAAGTTATTATTATTATAAAAAGCTATAAATAAAGTTTTATTTTAAAACTAACAGCGAAAAGTATGAAAAATAATATATTTATAAAGGTAATTAAATTCAGTAAACATATAAAAAAGTTAAGTAAAATAGTTAATAATAAGTTGGATTTTCTTCTCAAAAACTATAATAAAATATTCAAAACTAATTTAAAAGGTAATTCAAATACTTTTTAATTTAAAAAGAGTAATACTTTTAAAAATAAGATTAATATATAGAGGGTATTTAAGTTAGTTTAGTATTTTATAAAAATAGAGTTAAATATTAAAATACTATTTAAATTAGATAAAAAAAGTAATAAATTAGCTACTATTATAATAAGGTAAAGTAAAAAAAACTTTTTAATTAATATTAATAGTTATTATAAAATACTAAAGTAATAATATAATTAATATAGTTACTTTATATAATAGAAATTTAATATAAAAACTCAGTTTTAGAAATTTAATATATTATAAGAAATTAACTATTAAAAAGTTAAGTATAAACCTACTAATATAGATATTTATAATTATTATAGTTAACTATAATAAAAATAAAAATATAATAGAAGAAAGATAAAAAAAAGAAAATAACTAAATAAGTTAAAAAGAAAAGTAAAGGCAGCTTTTATATTAAAAAGCTACTTAAAGTAATTTAGTTATATATAATAAAATAACTTTATAAAGTAAAATAAATACTAAGTTAATTACAGCTATTTATAAATAAAGAGTTAAATTATAGAACTATTATATAAAAGCTACTATTTCTAGCCTTTTCTTTTTCTTTATATATATATATATATATATATATTCCTGCTGTTCTATATATCTTATTACAGTAATAATATATAAAAAAACTTTTTATAATTTATAAGCTATTATTAGCTGCTACTACTAATTAAAGGCTTTTTTATAAAAGAATTATATTTATAACTCAGCCTACTAATATTATTAATCTTTTTATATTAGAGTTTGTATATATTATATAATATAAAAAAGTATTTTTATAGTATAATAGTTAAATATCTAAAACTTTTTAAAACGTTGTTAATTTAAATCCAGCTGGAGATATAGTAACGAAAGCTAAAATTTTAAAAAATTTAGCACCCTTAGAACTAAGCTTTAAAAGGCTGAATTTAAAACCTCTCTTATTAAAACGCTAATTAGTCTGCTGCAGTTTAAGTATAACTAATTAAGTTATTATTTTTAATAAAGTTAGATAAGGTAAAAATACTGAGAAAAAGAAGTTATTAATATTATTACTATACTAGCTACTGTATAATTATTAAGAGGAGGGTTTTATAAAAGGTATATATTATTATTTAATTTTCCCTGTTTTATTTACTCTATAAGGTATTTATTTAAATATTTAAATTTTATCATTTGTAGATTACTGTACTTTCTTCTATCTATTAACCTAGATATCTAAATTAGATAAAATAACAAAATAACAATAACTACTATAATATAAAAAAGTATTTAATCTATTTATTCTCTTTTTATTTCCACTCTACTAATTTATTAATTACACTCTGCTTTTTCTTTTAAAAAAAATATAAAAGTTTTCTCTATTAAAAAGTACTATTTTTTTATCTGCTTAATACCATAACTATACTATAATAGCTAGTATTAATAAAAAAACTAATATCTATAAATTTATAAAAATTAAGCTAATAAAATATTATAAAATTAATATGTTTAGTAAAGTAAATAACTTTTTCTTTTTTCATAATATAAAATAATAAGTACAGCCATCTATTTAAAAAGTTTTTAAAAATTAGCTGATACTATTTTAATTTTATACTAAACTTAGTAAAACTTTTAACTTTTTTTTAATTTAATATTTATAGAGAGCTTTAATAAACCTGCTTTTTAAAAAATATTTTTAATATAAAATATTTTTAAAAATATTAAAAATAACTAAATTAATATATAATTCTAGATTAACTACTATTTAAATCTTTAGATACTGCTATAAAAACTATAAAATAAAAAGTAAGCTAGTAGCCTTAAATTCTATTATTTTTAAAAAATAGCTATATATAATATAAAAGATATAATAGCTATTTTAAAGTAAGCTTTTATTATTAAAATTATATTCTTTTTAAATCCTGCTAAAAAAAAATCTAATTTCTTTCTATTTAAAAAAGTAAATAAAGTTAGAGAAGAATTTTATTTTCGATATATAAATACTAGAAGCTTTTAAAAAGATATTTATAATAAGTACTTTATTACTGGTATTACTGGTATTATTAGCTATTTAAGCTATTATACCAGCTATATTTTTAACTATATATATAAGCAACTATACTATTTTAACTTTTAAAACAAGTTTATAATAGAATAAAAATATACAGTTACTTTTAGCTTTAAAAAAGCTTTTATATTCTATAGACTTTTATTTAAATTTACTATTACTTTAATTTTAGTTACTAAACAACTAAATAGCTAGAAGTATAGCTATATTTTAGTTTTTACAATTTTTTTTAATTTATAAAGTATAGTAAGTTTTATTAAAAAGTAATTAAATTACTCTAAAGAAATCTGCCGTTTTAAAATTAATAATGTTAAGCAGTTTATTAATATTAAAAAATCTATTTAATTTTAAAACTGAGTTATTAACTTAAAATTTAAATTTATTAAAATTAATATTAAAAAGACTATATAATATATAGGTGATTTTATTAAGCTATAATTCTAAATAAGCTAGAGATTAAAAACAGTATAATAATTTTAAGCTTAGATATTTTTTAAAAAAATACATTAATAACTTTAGTAGCTATATCTAAATAGATTAGTGTTTTTAATAAAAAAGAATTTATATATAAATTAAAATAGATTAATCTTAATTTAATAAAAAGAAATCTAAATAAAAAGAATATATAAATAAAACTATATCTTATTAATAATTGAAAATTTTTATAAAAGATATTAATATA